CCCTCTCTCAGTGCAGTGATAATGGACTGTAGTGTCTGTATTTACTCTTCCTCTCTGCACCTCTCTCAGGGTATGTGAAGTCTCACTGGCAGGAAGACAGTTTCTTTGGTTATCAGTTCATCAACGGCTGCAACCCATTCATGATCCGGCAGTGTCGCCACCTCCCGCCAAACCTGGCTGTTACCAACGAGATGCTCTGCCCTTTCCTGCCCGAGGGCTCCTCGCTGGAGCAGGAGATGGAGGTGCGTCTTTCTCAAGGATAACTGGGAGACGGGAGAATGGATAGATGTGCATTGAGCCCTGCATGGGACAGGGATATATATATAGTGTTGAGAATTGATGTGTAGAGGACTGGGTGCACAGTGCTGAGAATTTTGATATATGCTGTAATGGACTAGGGTCCAGGCTGTTGAGATTTGGCGTATAGACTGTTGAAAATATGGGTATAGGTTACAGGACTGGGGATGTGATTTCATATTCTGGTTGTTTCCGTGTGTTGTTCTTTGTTGCAGCACGGAACTGTTTTCCTGGCAGATTATGAGGTTCTGGAAGGTGTCCCAGCGAATCGCCTCAATGGACGGCAGCAGTACCTGGCCACCCCTCTGTGTCTTCTGCACTGTGACCAGCAGGGGGAGCTGAAGCCCATTGCCATTCAGGTAGAGAGAGGACAGCGTCTAGTGGAATTGGGGGCATAGGGGTTTATTTTAAGTGTCATATTTTGTTATAAATGATATAAAAAGCCTACTTTACTAAGTTTTTTTTTGCCAAATTAACCTTGCATGGAATGGAAATAAGAGGGGATGTATCTCTAGTGTGTTTGAAGTGATTGTCTTGGTCCATACAATTCTGAATCTAATTAATTCTCATCTCTCAACCCTTGGTCTCAGCTGCAACAGCACCCTGGGCCTCAGAACCCTGTGTTCTTGCCCTCTGATTCTGCGCCTGACTGGCTGCTGGCCAAGGCATGGGTGCGCAGTGCTGACTTTCATTGCCACCAGCTTATCTCCCACTTCCTCAGGACTCATGTGGTAGGGGAGGTGTGCTGCATTGCCACCCTCAGGCAGCTGCCGGAAATACACCCCCTGTATCAGGTATGCTGATAACTCGCAATGACGAACACAACTAAATGCTCCAAGATTGACACAGCTACACACTGATTGATGATTCACAGGTCAATAGCACAAAAATACACACTGAAACACTGCCACACAGGTTATAATATACACACTAATACATTCCATACTTGTCAGGGATGAGGTTTTGCAATAAGCAAGATTTGGCAGTGAATATCTGTGCAGTCAAACTTCCAAGGGGAGGCCGCTGTCAATGTTGAGAAATCAACAACAGTGCACAGTTTTCATGACAAATACAAAAACTTAAATCTTCTCAAAGGCAGTGTTTCAAGGGTCTTACTAGCCAGAATATATTGAGCATTGAGTCCAGTCTCTTGGTGACAGGGAAAGGGGTGATTGTGTTGGAGGAGCCAGAGATCCCCTGGCCAGAACACCCCAGATCCCCACCTTATTGAATCCTTTTTACCATGATCATGGATCATGGCCAAGCAGTCTATGGCACTGGATTGAGGCTCCAGTCTCTTTGAAGGTGTGAGAAGAATCCATCTAGTGACACCAGTCTTTTTAAAGATGTCAAATATACCAGGATTTTAGGAAATTCAGAAAGAAAACCCTAACCCTAACCGTGAGCACCCCCCCCCCCACACACACAGGGATAGCCTAATCATTTGGCCAGTAAGTATACACTGTTCCTTCTGTAATAATAATTAATAATAATTGCTTACACTTATATAGCGCTTTTCTGGACACTCCACTCAAAGCGCTTTACAGGTAATGGGGATCCCCTCCACCACCACCAATGTGCAGCATCCACCTGGATGATGCGACGGCAGCCACAGTACGCCAGAACGCTCACCACACATCAGTGGGGAGGAGAGCAGAGTAATGTAGCCAATTCATAGAGGGGGATTATTAGGAGGCCTTGATTGGTAAGGGCCAATGGGAAATTTGGCCAGGGTGCCGGGGTTACACCCCTACTCTTTTCGAGAAACGCCCTGGGATTTTTAATGACCACAGAGAGTCAGGACCTCGGTTTTACGTCTCATCCGAAGGACGGGTGATGTAGTGATGGGACAGTTTTGGGTCTCCCTGAGGCCATGTTTGAGGTCAGCCTACGCACAGGGTGGGTTTAATGTTTGAATAGTGGCCAAGATGAGCATTCAGATCAGCCGGTGGCCTGTAGTGCAGCTTACACACACAGACACTGCCGAGCAGCCAGAAGCAGGGGCATAGCTGCACAGGCTTACTGAAATACTGATAATGAAGTGAAGTACAACATTCACCTGCTGAGCGACAAGAAAGCCTACCAAACTTACTTTGAAGCTCTGTTGCCCTCCCTTTCCAGGTGCTGATGCCGCATGTTAGTACCACTCTGCAGATTAATATCCAGGCGCGAGCCTCACTCCTGGCACCAGGGGGCGTGTTTGACAAGGTGAGCACAGGTGCTCCCTGGCCATAATGTGATGGTTGCTCCTCTCTCTTTAAGCCCCACAGTGAATGTATTATTGGACTGCAGCTGGACAGACACTTCACACCTGTTAAGCAGCCCAAATTTACTATCACCCTTTTTTCAAAATCTTGCTGCATCATAAATTGTGTTCTGTACTGAAGGTTTTATAGACTCTAGCTTTGTTCTTTGTTGTATTGCTGTGTCTTTTGATCATGTCATTTCCCCAGTCTTCTGCCTGTGGTCTGGAGGGGGTGTCCGCCTTGCTTCGCAGAGCCACAGAGCGCCTGTGCTACAGCGCCCTCTGTCTGCCGGAGGACTTGCAGGAGCGCGGGATCGACAAGCTGCCCCACAACTACTTCGCACTGGATGGACTGAGAGTGTGGGGGGCCATCAAAAGGTATGGTGAGAGAGGAAAAGACAGGCTCTGGCACTCAGAGGTGGGCAAAAGAAAAGAAAAGCTGTTCAAATACTTCCCTGCAAGGTGAAAGAGGTAAAGGGTCACTAGCAATCTTTTTTAGATCTGTTGCTGGAGGAATAGGACACTGAGAGGCTGAGTAGAAACACTCTCTACTCTAATGAAATGAAATTACACATGAGGTACAAGTATACCCAAAACAAGCAGTTTTATCTCTTTTACATTTGAAAGAAGATGCTTTTTGAGTCCTTACAAAGTCCATTTATTTGATGTGAGGACTTTCTCAGATTGGTCCTCATGGATCCAGTAATCTGTGCAAACATTCACAGCACTCTGTGTGGGAGACCAGTATGGAACACAGGATCTGCTGGTGAAATACTCCTGTGTAGCTGCACCAGCTAACAGCACCACCTGGTGCTGGGGTCACTGTTGGTCCAGTGATCGCCAGCTTCTGCCCCAAGCTGAGTCCATTGCTGTTGAATCGACTCGGAAGAGCCTCAGCGATCTCTCTCTGTTGGGCTGAGCGCAGGTTCGTTCAAGGGCTGGTGGAACTGTACTACCCCAGCGATGCAGCGGTGCAGCAGGACTCGGAGCTGCAGAACTGGATCCGGGAGATCTTCGTGGAGGGCTTCCTGGGCCGAGCAGAGTCAGGTCAGGGAGATAGGAGTCATACCGGGAGTGGGACTTGTGAGCGAGATCTCACAGTGTTAGGCGCATTCATCATCAAGTGAGCTTCTGCTGCTGGTTTGAATCCATCATAAAGCCTCCACATCCAGGAGAGAGCCTACCACAGCCAGTTTGACCTGTTAGGATCTCCTTGTGGTTAAATTCAGTGCTTTTAACTAAGAGCATTGCTTGGTAACTATTCCTCCGTCCACCCTCCTACCCAGTTTCCAGGCTTGAGCTACACTGTAGCGAACGGAAGCAAGATCTGAACATGTCCAGCATCACCACACCATGAATCAGATCTTATCTAGCCCTCACACTGCATTCATGTTATTTCTCTTTTCTCAGCTGCTCTAAGGGAAGTATACAGACCATGTCAGTTAATTTGGAGGGGATTGTTGGGGCGTGGGAACTGGAGTTACACTGAATGCCCCCTCCCTAGAGAATCTGGTGGTGTCTGAGGGTCTTTATTTTCAGCTCACAGTAAGAGGGAATGTCCTGCATACTATGAATTCTGGGATCAAAGGGGAACCTCCCTTCTCCCGATTCGCCTCATGTCTGTACTCCCGTCTGCAGGTCTGCCTCAGTCCTTCCAAGAGCGAGAGGAACTCACCCAGTTTCTTACCATGGTGATCTTCAGCTGCTCTGCCCTGCACGCTGCTGTTAATTTCTCCCAGGTTAGAAGTGCCTAGTTGTGGAACAATGTTGTGATCAATTGTTTTATTAGTGGGAGGGTTGATGAATTAGTGTATGTACCTGTCTGTTTCCTTCTGCTCCTTGGCTTCATGTTTACACTTAACCCTCTGTGTTGTGGAGGCAGGTTGCATGGCCTTACTTACAAGCTTAGTTACCCAGACCAGAGCCAGGACAGAAGGCTCCTTGAACAAACCAGGTTGTTCAAGTCTCTAGGAGGCTGAACTGGGCTGCTAACATTTAAGGGTTTTCTACTCTCTTGCTGTGTGTACTACTTACTGAACCTCCTTGTCCTCTCCATCTCTTGGACGGAGAAGTCAAAGCTGTTGTTACAGACTCTGAAGCTGCAGCTGCTGTAGTTGAATCCCTAGGCCATATAAAATGTTTTGGTTCAGAGCATCTGCTGAATGATGGAGTGGTAGCGCAGTGGTTAGCACGGCTGCCTGGTGTGGAATTTGTTGTCTCCATGTGGGTTTTCTCTGGGTGCTCTGGTTTCCTCCCATAGCTCAAAGACATACTGGTAGATTAAGTGGAAAAACTGGGAAAATTAACCTGGCCCTGGTGGGAGTGTGTGTGTTTGTGTCTGCCCTGTGATGGCGTGGCGTCCCATCCAGGGTGTATCCTGCCTTGAACCCATAGCATGCCAGAATAGGCTCTGGTTTCCCTACGACCGTGTTTTGGAATGAGGGGATAAGAAATGGATGGATGGATCTCTGAATGACTAATTATTACTGTTGTTGTTGTCAAGTTAGTCCACCGTGTGTTCTTGCTCCCCCTTCAGTGATGTCCTCAGGAAAATCAGGTCATCATGTAATTACTATAACTCCTTGGGACAGATCAGATGGATGATGAATCCCCTGCAGCAGGAAACCTGTCCTGGCAGTGTGCTTATGCAGCCTGCTCCTTCACAGTTCCACTGTGAACTGACCTGCAGCTGGAGACAGCTGGTCAGCCAAAGCAGGTGGAAATGTGAAATGTTGGGGCACATCTGGGCAGAGTCCACCAATCAAGCTGTGGGGCTGGCTCCCCTGTGCCTACAAACAGTGCCCAAAATCCTTACTAACCCACTGGTAGTCCAGACATCAGTTTTGACTCATCCAGAGGACAGCACTTCCTGCCTTACAGCATCTTCCTGTCATCATGCAAAAGTGTTGGTTTTTACAAGCTAGTCCACAAGAAAGAGCACCAACTGCTGGTCCTCTAGCACCATTCCCAGCAGCCTGGTTTTCCTTAGAGATCTCCCATTCCAATCCAGATCAGGTCCAGCTCTGAGTAGTTTCATGGTGGTACAGTGTCTGGATGCTTTGTGCTCTGTATAGGCTCCCTGTAGCTGTGATGGAGAAGAGAATGAAAATTATGGTGATATGTAGGAAGACAAATTCCAAACTGTTTCAGTTCATCTCACTGCTCGTCTTGAATTCAATGTAGCCCCTCACTTACCTTTCTCTCCATCACTTTCTCTTTTCTTCTCCCTCCGGATTCACCCTGTGACTCATTCTCTCTCTCAGCTGGACTTTGACCTCTGGATGCCCAACTGTCCAGCCTCCATGTGCCGGCCACCGCCCTCAGTGAAGGGTGCAGTGACCATGGATGACTTTCTGTCCTGGCTGCCCGACGTCAATGCCACCTGCTCTATCCTCATCACTCTGTCCCTGCTGTCCCAGCCTGCGCGGGATTATGTGAGTCGTTACGTTTGGTGGATAGTTCTCCTGTACCAGGGTGATCTTCCTCTCTTACTGCCTGCATCTCCTGCAGAATAATATTTGTCTTTCTGCTGATATGTCTGACTCATTTTCCAGTCTTACCCTCTTATTTTCAGTCCATTACCAAGCTTTCTCTTTCTCCCTGCTGTACAGCAAGCTTGGTAATGGACTGAAAAAAAGAGGGTAAGACAGGAAAATGAGTCAGACATATCAGCAGAAAGACAAATATTGTTCTGCAGGAGATCCCTGCCTCCATCTTTCCCGAGAGCTGTCCCCATCTGATTCCCATCTCTCACCCTGCCAGATCCCACTGGGCGAGTACCCGAAAGAAAGGTTGTTCAGGGAGGGCGCCCCCTGCAGGCTGATGGATGCACTGAGAAAGGAGCTGCAGGAGCTGCGCCAGCAGATTGAGGAGAGGAACGCCAGTCTGGAGCTGCCCTACCCGTACCTGTCCCCCGATCGCATTGAGAACAGTGTGGCCATCTGACAGTCTGCGGCTCACTCCCTGTCCCACAGTCCCATCGGTTATAGGTCAAGTCAAAGTGTACAAGGATCAATATTTACACCTTTGTTGCGGATTTCATTAACACTGTCGTATCAAGACTCATGTTCGTAAATGTAGCTACTTAACTAAGATTTTCACAGAGCATCCCTGGACCTGATCTCAAAGCTCCTCCCACCTGTCAGTTTTACCATTAGCCCCTCCCATTATGCTTGCATCAGATCTATCATTGGTTAATTCATAAGCCCCACCCCCACCGCATCAAACCGCCTGCTAACCAAATGAAAAAAGTTGTAGGATTTTCAAGTGTGAATACCTGAGAGAGTAGGAAGTCCATTTACAACAAGCACGGTAAATGTAAAAGGACAGAGTGATTTAGAAAAGCTTATTGCAGTTTGATTGTTTGGAGCCGGATCCATTATTTGTCTTTTCCTCATTTATAACTCCTGTTTTTGTATAAAGCATTTGAATAAAAAAATCTTTGTCTATAAGTGAAAAGTAATCTAACTTTCAACCAACTAAACTGAAAACAAGATATATCTTTAAACTGTGCAAATTGACAGGGATTTGTTTGGAGAAGTATTCATATTTTGGCACAGTCATTATCATTGCTCCTTTGCAGTGCTGGGGCCCCGGGTTCAATTTCACACTAGGGTGCTGTCTGTGTGGAGTTTGTATGTTCTCCCTGAGTTTGTGCAGGTTTCCTCTAGGTGCTCCAGTTTCCTCTCATCGTCCAAAAACATGGGAGATTAATTGGTTTCTGGGAAAACTGGCTTTGGTGTGAGTGTGTGCATGTTTATGTTTATTTGTGTGTGTGTGCATGTTTGTGTTTATTTGTGTGTGTTGGACTGGTGTCCTGTCCATGTACCCTGCCTTGCACCCGTTTCATCCAGGGATAGGCTCCAGCTCTCTGTGACCCTGTATCGGAAAAAGTGGTTAGAAAATGGATGGATGGTATTCCCACTTTTATGTTCTTGGGCAGCTTTTGTTACCAATAAAGACATGCGAGTCTCCTGTGTTGTGATGTAACAGTAACGTAGGCTTCAAATCAGTTTGCCTCAAATCAGCAGCACAATTACCAAACGACCTGCCACTTGTAATCCTGTTCTTCAAAGTACAAAATATATTCTCACGTTTTAATCGTTAGACACTTTAAGTATTACATCGTAATGCATTTCAGTTACAAACATTAACATTACATAATAGCTAAATGCTTAAAACACTCATCAGTACTCTTCACTTGCCTCCCATTTTGACTACATTGCGTTGCTCTGCAGTTGAGGATGACATTGTCAGCGGTCCTGATCCTTTCAAGTTTTCTTGTGCCTCTCCTTGCCCTTGCGGGATCGGAGATATTTTCAGGTTTTCTCAGCCGTGTTCCTCGGCGCAGGACAATGCTGGGGCAGTGCGGGGGATGCACACATTACAGTCTGTAATTTCGATCTCTAATCTTCTGCATGTTCATTTTTAATTCTTAACACACATTTGTTGATGATGTTTTTACTTACGTGGGCCCTTCTAACTCAAACCAATTAATGATTGAATAATAATGACACCTTCCGCTTTCAATGCGCACCGCCTTAGTACTTCTGCCACCTAGGGGTCGCGTTTATACAACGGTTTAACGGACAAAATTGCAAAAATAGATCTGAGCGACCTGTGAAAAAGCCTGTAAAGAATCTAACTGGATACTCGATTGAGTATGGTTACCGTTTGTCTTGGAGGAGAAAGGTAGCACTAATCAAAAGTTGGTATAAAACTTTGGTCTCGGTCCCCTCGTTTGTAAACAAACCCCCTGCTTATTGCCGGGGCGCGACACCTGCAGAGGCTAAGCAGAGCGAAATGTCTGGATTATTAACGGATGTTTAGTTGGTTAGGGCTGTTGTATTTCCGTTCATTTAAATTGTGGAAACAGTCACTGTTAAACACCCCTTTCTCCGTGAGCCGAGAACTATAAATTTGACCAGCATAGAGGGGAGATCTTATCACCTGCAAAGCTCTTTGAGTGGAGTGTCTTGAAAAGCGCTAAATAAGTGTAAGGATATTATCATTATTACCTCCACCACTCAAAAGAAGCTCGTAGACTGCAGTAGCTTGATTATATTTCGCCGAAATGTAAGTCGTTATTTTTTATTTTTTATCCCGTTTTAAGGGGTACGGTCGCCGTCAAACACTTTTAAAAGGGGATCTCCAGGAGCAGGGAAAACCGGATGAAAGCGGTGGTTAGTAGCGCAGATTTCAGCGCCAGGGTCGTTGCGCTCGCCTGTCTTCCTGGTGTGGTTCCCAGGGCCAGCGGCCCGTTACACAATTTTATTGCCGGCACCTCCTCTCTGCACTTTGGTGCCCGCGCCCTTCCGCGTCCAACGCGTCCCCTGGCGCTATAATCCGTAATCAGGACACCTCCTGTTACCATGGCAGCGGGTGATCTCCCGTAAATAGTGGCTTGCTGCCCATACAGACACAGACATTTATGGGAAAGCTTGAGGGCTAATGGGGCTCTTAGCTCATCAAGGTGTTGACACCTGCATGGAAAATATGTGTGAAGCCTCCGCCCGGTTTATATAAATTCCAATCCTCTTTTAAGGCCGTTCTGTGCCAACACACAGAAAACCTGCAGTCTTCTCCCTTTTTTATTGGCTGTACAGCTCGAAAGCAACAGGGAGTGGGCACTGACGTTTCCCTGTCTGTCTGTGCCAGACATCGAGTTGGAGATAATGTGGTGCTGTCTTGGATCTGTGGTCTTTGCTCAGAAGTCTTCCCTCAGGAAGAGTGCGAATGGCCTGTCGGGTTAACCTATGAAACACTGGTGGACTGCATTCTTTTATTCCTTTTTTTAATTGTATAATGTTAGCATGCCCAGAGGGGCTGGGCAGCCAGTTGACCTTGGACCCCTAGAGTTTTTTTTTCTCCTTACTAAGGAGTTTTTGGTTCCTCTCCTCCGTTGTCTTCTGGTCATTTCTGTTCTGTATTCACAACATGTAGGGTCACTTACATTGTTAAGCATCTTGGGGCAACCTTGTTGTGAAAGGCGCTATATAAAAATTTGAATTGAATTGTATTCTGTCTCTGGGTAAAGCACGTGGTCATAGCACTGGGGTCAGGTTATCGTCCTGCTCAGCCCCCTCAGAGCCACAGCTTGGATGCCTCGCTGCAACAAGAATGACAACACGTCCCCTTATTTTACTTTCACCCTCGGCTTGACCACTGCCCCCGACATAACAGACCTGGTGAGCTCTGGCATGTCAGGACAGGCTCCTAAGTCATGGTTGGGCATCTCTGAAGGGGATTCCAGGGGCACAGAACAGAGTTGCAGACCATCGCGTGACGTGTCACCCTTTCTGAAAGGGAGGCTCCCTCTGTTACTGTTGTTAAAGCACAACTAAATCCCATTTAGGACCAAGAATTATCTTTACAGCACGTTATTACTTCAAGCATCTTCATATTTCTGTTTTATTACTGTGTTTATGGCCTTCCAGTATCTTGTTTCTGTGTATTTTGTATATTTCCCCTCTTTTACAGTCACGTGTCCTTCATTCTTCGGATGCATGTTTGTGTCCAGCCAGTGGCAGAGCAGAGCAGAGCAGAGCATGACAGTGGGGGAGAGTGCAGCTGGACAGGAGCCATTTTGAGTTATTTTTACGGGCATCTCATGGCTCCACCATCATCCATTTATGTTTGAATTGCTTTTTTGGGGGGGGGAGCTCTGGATCTTTTTTGACTTGATTTAAAATGGAATTTCAACCATTGGCTTCTGTATTCTGAACTCAGGAGCTAGGCTTTTGTGCAGTGCATGTTCTAGCAGAGGAGAAGTGTGACTGACTGAGGGAGGTCCTCTCCCGAGCTGTTCCCGAGGTTGTCATTCACAGTCCAGAAGCTTGGTTGCAGACAGGGTCAGTGATCACTGATTGCTGCCCATCAAGATGACATTGACAGATCTGTCCATTATTGTCACTCCTGTTTGTCATTCCTTGAGAACTCCTGGCATAGAGTATTAGAAAGTGTATGGGCTTTACTCCTGTCGACACACGGGGCTCCAAACATCCTTGTTCACTCAATGCTGATGACACTCTCACTGGTATTTCGACCGTGTGCTAGTCTGATAACTTGGGCATGGGCAGTCTCCCCAGAAATCAACCACCGTTATGATCTGGGACAATACTTTAACTTCCTCTGAAAACCTAGCTAATCTGTTTTTAAACTTACATTAAGTATGTGCAATAGCAGGCATTACTTTACATTCAGAGTTATGGGGGTCTGGAACAAACTACTCAGGCACATTGCTGAAGGAGACTCTCAACTTTAAATAAATGGGCTCTAGCAACCACAGGAGTAGGAAGGTCTGAATGTACCTTGCCCAGGCACTGTGTGTCATTTGGGAAGAATTTTGCCTGGCTTTTGATGTCCCAGAGCACCTGCCCTCTTTCTGGGTCCTTACGAACCGCTGACTTCACTTTCTGACAGAGTACCCAACCCCATGCAGCTGCACCTCTGATGGTGAAGGTGTTGTGCACCATTAAAACATGGATGCTTCGTTAATCAGAGTTAATCTGAGGGTGTGTTACTATTTTTAGTGGCAGCTCGCCATCGCTCCTTATCAGCGGACACTGTGCCACACCGCGTTGGCAGAGCCAAGCTCGTGTCCTCCTCTGCTCCTGTACCCCCCCGCCGCCCCTTCTGTGAGCAGGGAGGTGAAAGCGCAGATCTGCGGGGCACAGGGAGTGGCGCTGCCAGATGGAGGTGAGTCATGGGTGTGGAGCAGAGCTGTCAGTTTAAAGGTCTCAGATACTTTCAAGAAACTTACAGTATCGTCACAGATGCCTCAACCGCCCCAGTAGAGTGAAGATACTGACACATGTGGGTTTGTTTTGCTGTAACTCTGCTGAGCAGTATGTGTGGTGCTTGTCTCTGAGTTCCTTGATCATGGGCTCAGTTCTGTCCGGGGGACCTCCTGTGTGAAGTTTGCATGTTGCCTTCTGGATTGTGTCTGGTTACCTCCCATGCCCTAAAGACATTTGTTATTCAATCCAGCTACTGCTTGGATCCTACAGAATAGTTGACTACCCCAGGTTATTATAATGCTGGGGCAGCCCCAACCTTTTGAGGAGTGTGCAGACGTGCCAGGGCGAGAATGCTGAAAAATCAAACCATCTTCCCTCCCAGAAAGAAATTCTGTTTCCAAGCCCCATCACCTCATCAGACCACAGCTCAGCCTGGCTGTTGGGGTCTTAAGCGAATAAGACCCCCGATCCACAGCAGGAATGAACCCCCAGCAATGCTGGACTGAAGCAACTGGGGTAAAGTGCTTCAGTCAAATTTCAACTCCAGGGTCCTAATCAGGGACTCGCACCCAGAAGGTGACACCAGGTGTCAGCCTGGAGTCTTGCTGACTACATCCCACTGCCCCCTCTGTAAAGAGTGGTTGCTGGACAATTCACAAATTCGCAAAGAGTGTGCTGACTCCCGAGGAGAGCACATGAAACGCAGCATGCTGATAACACCAACAGCAGCAGCAGCAATAATTTGCTGGTCTGCCCTAATTCTTTATTAGGGACATTCCTGCTGTGTGATCCCTACTGCAGCGTCAGCACTTTGAGGGAACACCGCCGAGATTCCTTCAGTATCCCACATCTTTATTACTGCCTCTCACGCCTCTTAATCGTTTTACTGCTCAGTGTGCTGCTGGGGGGGCTCTCTCTCCTGCAGTGTTACTCATTCACCCAGGGAGAAAGGGAGCGTTTGTGTCCCAAGGATCCCAAACCGTAGCTTCTCCCAGGCTGGAAAGGCAATGTACCCAGAGCTGACAAAGTGTTTCTTTCAGGTTGCATGAGCGCGGCACTGTGGAGCTTTGAAGATCAGCGCGAGCCACACCATCCCCAGATTAATAATAATAATAATAATAATAATAATAATAATAATAATAATAAACTTTGTTTTATCTAGTGCCTTTACAGGTGGCTTCTCGAAGCGCTTAGTAAGAAGTCCCTCTGCCGTTTGTCTTCCATCACAGTTGAGACTGAGTAGGAGAACTGAAAATCTCCAAGACCTGGGAAGAGCGTGCCCCAGCCGCTACCGGCACCACACTTTCAATTTCCACCCAGTTTCCACAGGACGCCATCTGCATGACAGCAATGTGCTTCATTAGGCAAATAATAATACCTATACTTGTCAAGGGAGACAGGATTGTGTCTGGGGGGTTGGTTTAAGAGCAACATCACTCCAGAGCATTATAGATGCTGTCAAGAGTGTGCTTGCCCTGGTGTAATGATCATTTGAAACTTTTTAATCATAACACTGGATTTGGCGTATCATGAGACCCTATGTTCAATTCCTGAGGTGCTATCAGCCTGGAGTTTATATGTTCTCCCTGTATTCACATGGGTTTCCTCTTGGTGCTCCAGTTTCCTCCCACAGTCCAAAGACTGTGGACTGTGCTGGTAGGTGAGCTGGCTTCTGGGAAAATTGGCCCTGGTGTGAGTGTGTTTGTGACTGTGTGTCTTCCCTGCGATGGACTGGCGTCCTGTCCAGGGTGTATCTTACCTTGCATCTGTTAACTTGCTAGGACAGGCTCTGGCAAAGCTCTCTCTCGCAGCTCTTAATTGGATAGAGTGGATAGAAAGTGGAGGGATCGATGGTTAACACTGGATGCAATTTAAGGGCATAAGAAAGGTGACAAATGAGAGGAGGGTTTTCGGTGCATCTAGTTTGTTTTCGAGCTCACTGAGTCCAGGATCTCATCCAGTTGTTTCTGAAAAAAAAGGGTACTGGCTTCAACAACATGGCTGAGTAGCTTGTTCTACACTCCCACCACCCTTTGTGTAAGGAAGAGCCTGACTGGAAGATCTCATCCAGCTATTTCTTAAAAGAGGACAAGTTATCAGATTTTGAGTAAAGAACTGCCTACCGTTCTCCTGTTCTTGTGCCAGACTACAGGCTATTGAGCTACGCAAGTGTGCCCTGGTACTGTGATGTTCTGTGATGAACTAGGAGATAAACCGGAAGTGTTCGTGATGAACACCCCCTTCTGACAGTCTGTCTTTGTAAGTTTGCGTGGTAAAGAGTTTCGCATGGTTTGGAGGCAATTATAGTACACAGGCTCCTTCCTTTGCCACTGTTTCTCTGAATTCATAACATCCAGTACGTCTTTATTGCCATACTGGGCAAAGACACCACTGTGCCGTAATACAGTGCGATCTGTTCTTGCTGTGGTGTACCGTGGTACAGTTATATTATGCCAACTCCACACTCCCGCAGGAGAGAAAACACTGTGGACAAAGCAGAGGTCTGCGTGTAGTGATACATATTCCCAAGGAGGTCACTGCTCTGACAGAATCCCAGCTCAAGCTGCGTCTCATGTACACTAACACTCTTTCAAGCTGGGATGCTGAATTCCATGACAGTTCTTTTCTCCAGCTCCTCCTTGATTGCTGATGTCATGTGCAGCGCCTGGGCGAATAAAGCAATTGAGGATCAGTTCAGAACTTGGCGTAGTGGAAGGATCAAAGTCCTGGAGCAGCGTGGAATCCAGATGCTAAAGTTGGCCACCTCTGGTCTAAGAGGATAACACAAGTCTAGCTACAGTATCACTCTCCCTTGCCCTGTTAAGTTATTGCTCTAAATGCTCTAACATATTTTGTCTACTGTAACATTAGTGGGGTGGCATGGTGCCGCAGTGTTGGGGCCCTAGTTTAAATTACAGACTTGGGGTGCTATTTGTGTGGAGTTTGTGTGTTCTCCCCTTGTTTCCTCCCACAGTCCAGGAGTGGTAAGTGAATTTGCTTCTGTGAAAAGTGGCTCTGATCTGAGTGTGTGCACTGTGATGGTCCCATCCAGGGTGTACTCTGCCTCATGCCCATTGCTTTCTGGGATAGACTCTGAACCCTGAACAACCCTGAACTGGAAGAAGCGGTAAGAAAATAAATGGATGGTATCAAAACAATACAGTATTGAGCTGCTCTATGGCTGGTATTCTGTGTAGAGCATTTTATTAAAAGATGCTACACCATAATATCAAAGAAAATGATCGCTGTCTCTCTTAATGGGTATAGGTCTGAAATTGGTCTGGTTAAGTCTGGTGTTCTTCAGGGCTCAATACTGGGGCCCTTGCTTTTCAGCATTTACATGTTTCCACTTGGTCAGCTTTTAAGTTCACATGGCCTCAGCTATCATTTCTATGCTGATAATACGCAAATATACATCCATACCAAAGCTGACACTGATGTGGCTGTCTCTATTCTATCTAATTGCATCTCTGACATAAAAACTTGGATGACTAAAAATATTCTTCATCTTAACTGTGCCAAGACTGAAGTCATGCTTATTGGTACCCCCCATCAACTTCGTAAAGCCAGTCCTGTAACCCCTCTGTAGATGGTTCTGCACTTGAGCTTCAGTCTAAATTGAAAAACCTTGGGGTGATATTCTATTCTGGCTTAACATTCGACTCACATGTGCAGCATATTGTCAAAACATCTTTTTTTTAACCTCAGAAATATCGCTAGACTACGCCCTATGTTATCACTACCCGTGGCTGAAAAGGTGATCAACACATTTGTGTTTTCCCGAATTGACTACTGTAATGCTCTACTCGTTGGGGTATCTAAATCTACTCTGAACAAACTGCTGTATGTCCAAAATTCAGCAGCCAGGATCCTGACCAGGTCTAGTGCAAGTGATCACATTACTCCTGTCCTGGATTCCTTGCACTGGCTTCCTGTCAAATTCCATATGGACTTTAAAATCCTCATGCTCACCTGACAGGCTCTGCATGTCTTGGCACCTCAATACCTGTCTGAACTATTATCGCCCTACTCCCCACCTCACAGCCTTCCCTCTTCTAATTCTGGCCTCCTAACTGTCCCCCAAGCCCGTCTACAGTGTATGGGTGACAGGGCCTTCTCCTGTGATGCCCCCAAGCTCTGGAACTCTCTCCCCAAGGATATCAGAGGCTCAAAACCTTCTTCTTTAGAAGAGCCTTTACTTAACTGGTTCTATTCTTTACCCCTCTGCTCCTACTATACTTAGTACCACCATCCACAGCCTCCCCTGTGTGTTGTGTATGTGTTTTATCTTGTGAATTTTTTATTTATTGTTGTTGTTCTTCTGTAAAGCGCTTTGAGAAGCCACCTTTAAAGGCGCTACATAAAATAAAGTTTAGTAGTAGTAGTATAAAATTGGAACAGTTCCAAATGAGAGGAGGCCATTCAGCCCATTTAGTCTGTTTGGTAAGGGCAGGGAAGGCGAGGTGAGCCTCCGTCTCTGTCCTCACCTCTCCTGATCAGCACCGAGTTTCACAAGCCCTCACCCTGACACACCCTGAGTCCTATCTCATGGTCGCTGATACACCCTGCAGTTTTGCAAGAAAAGAAAGAAAAAATCGAGGAGAATGCAATAAACCTCTGACCGCCTCACACACACCCCTCCACCCCCAGCCCAGTGTCCCAGGAGCTATATAATCCTGCCTCACCCCCGGCCTCGTCCTCGTCTCCTGCTGACTGCCTGGCCGATTGGGATAGTCCTTGGGCATCATGCGCTGCTGTTACCCCGGGTTCCTCTTGTTTTTTGCCTGGATAGGCAGGATCCACACACTGGGACATGGGAGCCACAGGTAAGAGGAGCCAGTGGATGATTTCAGCCCCTTTTCTGCCTGGCTGGCAGCAGCGTCCTGCGGGATCTCTCCTTCTGCTAGTGTAGCTGTCACCTGGGTGCGACATGGGGCTCCTATCCCTCCTGGTCTGCGCCCCTGGGTCGCGGGTTCTTTTCAGGGCTGCTGCGTGTCTTCTCTGCTGCGGTTTTGGAAATGATTGCGTCCAGCTGGCGCAGTCCAGCTAACTGATTCCGGGATCCCATCCAGCTGTTTCTTGAAAGGAGCCAGGGAATCGGCTCCGACGACATGGCTGGATAGCTGATTCCACACTCCCACCACTCTTTTTGTAGAGTCGTGTCTCCTGTTCTTGGTTTTAAAGGCACTTCCACTAATTTTCACTTGTGCCCTCCGCTTTGTGTTAAACTGCTGATTCTGTAGACGTGTGCTGAGTTTCTGTCATTGCTGGTGAACCAAGGTGCCCATTCACATTATAAGGGTTTACAGACGTGTCTGCTTTGGCTGTTGATTCAAGGACATTCTGCCATTGCTTGGTCTTTATTGAGGCAGCAGACAGGAGAGCTTTGAAACGGAATAAAGTGTCCCAAATGGTGAACTTGGGACCCCAAAATCTGTTGGTTTGCCTTCTGGTTGTGGTTACTCTTACTTCATTGAACGTACAAGTTCGATGCAGTTTGGGAACATAAAGAGTAACAGGCTTGAATGAATTGCATGTTCAGGCATGTTGCTTGAGATTTGCAGCTTTTTCTATGTTTTGAGACAGGCAGGACATAAACTGATAATGGATTTGATTAAGGCTGTCATTCACAGAGGGCTCAGCTGCAATAAAGGCTGAAGAACTGTGGTAAACAGAAGAGTAAAAATGAGTACAAAAAAGTAAAAATCCTTCCATTTCCAAAGGATTCCCCAAATTCTTCCCTTGTCCAGGAGAGGACACTTCATTCCACATCATGGTTCTGCCCCCCCTGGGCGCCACACAGATCCGGGGGGGTACTTCAGGGAGGAGAACTGTCCCGCCAAGAGGGGGAGTTTGGGCCAGAAATTTGGGAATGTTGATGATGTTTTCATATAGGACTGTTAAAGACGCATAGCGGCGTCCCTGATTGGAGTGAGAAGCAAAGTTAGATCGTGAACGACGGACCAGGCTGGCACCTGTTTGTCAGCGCCGAAGAATTTCCACTAAAAAGATGAAATCTTGAGCTGTGGAGCGAGGCACGTGCGCGTGAAATAACCCGACTTCGTTGTCTGAGGGTTGTGCGCGGGCTTTACTTTTCTGGAGCAAAACTGCGGAGTTAAAGCGTTGCGTTAATCGGGGCATATTAATATAAATCACACGGCCATGTCTGTTACGGGTTAGCCGAATGTGGATAATGTGCTGGTATATTAGTAAGGGACAGCGCACAAGAGAAGACTATTTCAAATCGCTGTTTATAGGCGTATTAACCACGTTTCATGTCCATTATCTGCTTGAGTGTAGACGTTTTTTTTAATTTCACTACATTAAGTCCCTTGAAGTCTATTTTACTGATTGTTCCAGCAGAAAATCTGTGAACACTTTAATGAATATGAACCGTATTTTTCCAGTTTTATATGTTTACAAGTTCATACTAGTCATTGGTTATATTTGATACCTTTTGAAGCCAGTGTTGGTTTTCTTCACACATTTGGATACTAAAACATGCTGTATTCCCACCTCGTGTAATTCGTACATTTATCGGTTCCAAAACAAAACTATGGAACTACACTTGTAAAGTTTTGTAAATACGGTTTTAACGTCACTCCAGACAGATTCTAAAACATGATAAGTCGTAGCTATTTTTAATTTTTTAATCACTGGCCTGAAGTCTTTTTTTTTTTCGAATAACACCAATAAACAGACGGTTACATACTGTATAAATATTTTTTTATTTATATTAGCATTGATTCCTTTTGTTTTGATATCGCATACACTACATTAATTTGTCATTATCAGAGCGCATTGCTGAGCATACAATTACTCCTTATCTTTGAAGATAATGGTGTAATAATCTGAGAGATCACCTATAGTGCCCTGAAGCATTCTAAGAATGGATTCAAGATCACACTCGGCACATTGTCCGTAATTGAAATCACATGGTTACACGTGGATAACAAACAATTCACCCCGAGACATGACCTTTTCAACCCGAGATAAGAAATTGTAACTAAAGTATTGCGACTGCCACAGGGCTCAGCGTGCCGAGCGAGTTCCAGAAGTGACGTCAGCCCACTGTCCCTGAGTGAGACTCTCTGTGCAACTCTGACGTTATTCCCCTCTTCTGTTACACAGAGAGGAGAAAGGCCACTGCTCAGCTGGGGGTGGTGCAAGAAGAGAACGAGGGGAGCGCGGGGGTCCCCTTTTATAGAGGGGCAGGGGAGAGAGTGAGCTTGATCAAAGGGGCAAAAGGTCAGAGTTGAGAGGGTGCCTGCCTGGACAGACCTCTACCAGGGAAGAATGCTACAGTATTCTGGGATAGGATTATTACTGGGTGGAGTGTCCAGAAGTGTGCCAAATATGTGTAAGGAATTATTATTATTATTAAACCTGTTTATAATACCTATAAGCAAGAAGTCTTACAATAGTTGTTGTATTGTGCCGTGGTAAAGGCAGAGGGATGGGCAGTGAAATCAAACCACAGCAATGCTAGAGACATTGTAAAGTACTATCCTGGCACAGTGACCTAAATGCACAGTCTTAAGCATGTTACTAGTCTTTTTTTCTCTCTACAGATATCAACTTTCAGTTTCTGACTATGAAGGAGGGACAGTACTGCACACCCCCAGGGACAACAGTAAGTGGACTTCTCGACAGAAGCTGCTATACTGTAGCTCCAATGCAGCATGGGCTGCATAGAGTACATATTGGTGGAATACATCTGGAAACTGCAGTCATCCTGGCTCAAAGACAGTAGATGGTGGAAAAAGAGCCAAAATGGCGGCTCTATTCTGTTGTAACACCAAACAGGTATTGCGAACAGATAGTCTCTACATAACGCTGTTAAATAATTATTGCATCACCATAATTTAACCCAATTCTCCTAAATCAGATCTAAGATCAATAAAATAGATCAGATGTTCCCTGTTTAATTAACAGTGGTGACAGCGACAAGGCGGTCAGTATGGGTAACAGCAGCGCAGCACTGTTGCTAAGCTGAAGTGTGTTGCTTGACCACCTGCTTTGTCCCAAGGTGTGCTGGGAATTGATAGATCAGGAGCTCACTTAGGTGGTGTGCTCTACAGAAGCCACCAGATGAGTGTTATGACTTTATGGCTCTCTGGGCATGGAGGTGTGGTGCTTTGCCCCAGACTCTGTGATTGACTCCCGGTGGTGTGTCTCCCTGCAGCGGTGCTGACTTCCTGCGACTTCAACAACAACAGCTCCCCCTTCTGTGACTTCCGACAGGATGTGCAGGATCACAGCGACTGGATACGGCACCGTGGAGCCACGCCCACTGAAGGCACGGGGCCCAGCGGAGACTTCCCTGATGGGAGTGAGTACGGTGCACGCTTTTCTAGCACCATTGACTTGTTACTGGTCTACCTAGCATTATGGTATGCCTAATTACAGCGATGTGGATGAGTCGTGCATGATTACAGCTCTACGGGTCAGTTGTGCACAATTACAGCCCTATGGCTCAATTGTGCATGATTCCAACACTATAGCTCAGTTGTGCATAATTACAGGTCTATGGCTCAATTGTGCACGATGACAACACTATAGCTCGGTTGTGCACAATTACAGCCCTATGGCTCAATTGCGCAGGATTCCAACACTATAGCTCAGTTGTGCACAATTACAGCTCTATGGCTCAATTGTGCACGATGACAACACTATAGCTCAGCTCTATGGCTCAATTGTGCACGATGACAACACTATAGCGCGGTTGTGTACAATTACAGCTCCATGACTCAGTTGAGTTGGCTCAGTTTTTCTAAAAGTATCCTGAATATCTTCTACTGCACTAACTGCTTGTGTTTCTTTTGTGCATATTCTGTAATTCGCTGTCCTTACAACTGGTTTTAGACTTACTTTAAAGTTCTTTGAGATGCTACTTTTAAAGGCGCAATATAAAATAACATTGATTATTATCCTCTCATATTGTCAACCCCTCTTTCTCCCCCTCATTCCAATGCCTTTTCTCCTCTGCTCCTACTGTATCTCCTCGCTCCCTTTCCCAGACGGCTACTACATCTACCACGAGGCTGACAACGTGGTCAGCGGCCAGGGCGCACGGCTGCTGAGCCCGGTTCTGAGGCCGAGGGACAGCCAGCTGTGTGTGCAGTTCTGGTTCTACATGTACGGCCTGGAGTCTGATAATCGGCTGGCCCTGCTGGTCCAGAAGCCCGGCGCGGTGGAGCAGCTCCTGTGGGAGAGACAGGGAATCCAGAGCCACTCCTGGCTGGGGGAGGCTGTCACAGTCCCTGCCTCTCCCGGGCAGGACCTCACTGTGAGTCTTGGTCAGCCAGGCCTGGGCCCAGGGCTTGCTGCTGAGGGGGTGCCGGGGGTGCCAGGGAGGAACGAGGGGTGTCCCAGGGAGGAATGAGGGTTGTGCGAGGGGGAGCGAAGGGCCTGCCATTGGGTACCAACAGTGTGTCAAGGTAACAGGGCTGTGTCAGGGAGATAACAGGAAAGTGCCAGGGGCATGCCAATGGGTACCAGGAGTGTGCCCAGGGGGTGCAAGGAAGGTGCTTGGGGCATATCAGAAGGGCAACATGGGTTTGCTAGGGCAATAACAGGATGTGTGCTGGGGGGGTGCCTGGGTGCTCTGGCACTTCTGTTAGTGATCATGAAGGGAGCACGCAGAATTCATTCAAGAGAAGCTCCGCAGTCTGTGTTCCATCCCAGGCAGGATTGTATTCCTGGTTTCCTAAGCTGCGGGCATGTTTGGCAGCAGGCCTGGCTGGATCATTGTCCTGCAACAGGGTGGAGCTGAAATTCCAACCTTTGTACAAAAACTCATTTTATAAACACGTCAAAGCACGGCACGACTACAAATTTGATTAGTAATACACTGAAAGGGCTCAAGAAACACATTGTTTGATTATCTAACCTATTATTTTAACTAGTACTGTGATCCATAACCCTGTATATACAGAAATGGTTCAGTACCTCCCTGTTAGAAGGCAATAGGTCCAGACAAGATGGAGACTTTTGCCTGGACTACACTCCCCACAGCCTTCTGCCTTTATCAGTTATATTCTTGTTGGGACTCTTTTAAATGCTGTGGAATAGCACACTTGCGTCTTGATATGTCTCTGTGATTTACAGTAAATCATTCTGTAATTTTGCCATAACGTTACTAGTCCACAGTGTGCTGGACTGTAACAACACCGTGATTTGCCCTGTCCATCCAGTGAATCCTCTTGTGTGTCTGTGTGCCCAGGTGGTGTTCGAGGCCGTGCGGGGCTTCAGCGCGTCCTGTGACACGGCGTTGGACAACATCACCATCAGCAGTGGCGCCTGTCCTGGTAGAGTTCATTTCCACTCAGACACGATCCGATCATCTGCAGGCACTCACTAAACCACCAGGGCAAAGCCAGTCAGAGAGTGCCTCAGTGTGCCAGGGGCGACAGTCAGTCACTGTGCCAGTTAGATGCCAGGGTGTCATAACGCCTTTCAGTCACTGTGCCAGTGTGAGATAATGCCAGTAATTCTCTGTGCCAGTGTGTGATGATGCCAGTCAGAGAGTGTATCAGTGTGCCAGTTAGGCAATGGGCCAGTAAGGTACTGTGCCAATCGGTCTGTGTGTTAGCCAGTCAGCATGTCTATTAGTCCCCAGTGTGCCAGTGTGTGATAATGCCAGTCAGTGCCAGTGCCAGTCGATGAGACAGCCAGTGTTTCAGTTAGCCAATGTGCCAGTGTGTGATCATGCCAGTCATGCCCTGTGCCAGTCAGTGAGACAGCCAGTGTTTCAGTTCGCCAGTGTGCCGGTCACTTACATGGGCTGGCTGGTCAGAATGTGGGGGAGTGATTACTGCGGCTGTGCTCGTCTCAGCTGACCTGTCTTTGTACGTGTCCCTCTGCAGGCTGCCTGTCTGGCTGTGATTTTGACACTGTTACGGACCAGTGTGGCTGGACAACCCAGAGTGAGCCCAGTATTACGGGCTGGGAACAGTGGAACGGACAGACTGATACCGAGGGCACCGGGCCTGAGGACGACTTCTCCAAACCAGGCTGTGAGTCCGATAGGGCTCTCTGTGGGAATGCGTGTCTGACATTGACATGACATGACCTCGTGTGTGAAAGACAATGTTTCCCAGATGGAATAAATTCACAAATAATTGGGCCTAGGGAATCAAACAAAGCTGTTTGTGATCTATACAGAACTACTCTATATAGCACTTTCAGTGAGTTAAGCTTAAAAGCTTTTCAAAGTTCACAATTCCAATGCTTAAAATCCAGAAACTCTGAGGTCTCTTGAATACCTGAACTGTAAGAGACAGCTGATCCAATAACCGGAGTGTGACAACACTGGCACACGCAGTATGGGCGAGCTGGAAGTGATTCCTGAGTGGAATTAATCGATTTAATCACTCAGCTATACTCTTCAGGCTCCGTGTCTTTAACAACTGAGGAATTGCAGACAACTAGCGAACCTGTAGGATGTCAGATCTCCTGGACTGGAATTTGCTCACATCTGTCTTGACTAGATAGCGCAGACACTCCTACATGGATCAGTATGCTACTAGCAGGTGAAGCAAAGCTCCTTCTTTGTATTTGTAAGGTGTGGAACTAACTCTGGGGGTGCCACTAGGAGGCGCTGTGTATAAGAAATGGTAATCACATGCCTACCACAGACAGCATTCTTTTAAATTTTTCTAAACTGAATATCATGGGAGCAACCATTTTGTCAAAAGAACAACAATAATTTATCTCTCACAACAACTTATCCAAACCAACTAATGAGCACATTACAAGGAGATAGGATATTTTACACAGATTTAGAAGGACATAACTCTTACCTTCACAAAACAAAAGTTCTGTTCTGACCACTCAGAGGCAGAAGCACCAGTTGTGAAGACATGACATTACCTCCATCACTCTAATATGGCGCCTCCTAGTGGCATCCCATAGTTAGTCCTCCAAGGGCTTGATAACGTTTTAAGGTTGGTAGCTTCTTACACTGTCTTGGCCTCTCTTGCCCATCATGACAGTTGGGAGCTACATGCTGTTGGACTCCATATTTTGTGTACCGGGTGCAAAATCAGAGCTGTGGAGCCCAGCTGTGAGCAATGGGGGCTGCCTCCAGCTCTCCTTCTACTACTACATGTACGGCACAGCCACCACCATGAGGCTCAGCGCCTATGCCGCTGCTGCTGGTAAGTCCCCTCGCATTCAAGTGAATACTCCATAAAAATAAATGATACACTGAAAAAAAATAGATTTGAAAGTTTCCTTACCATAAGGCCTTTCTGATTAATAAGAAAGGAATTCGTTATTTTGCTCATATCCCTGATGGGAAAATTTGTCTTATATGAATACAGTACCATGCCTATGCAGTGTGACACAGTTGTCAGAACTCTAGACTCATAACTGCAGGGTTGCAGGTTCAAATCCAACGTGGGAGACAGTATTTTATTTTTCCCTTGAGAGAGGTACCTCATTTGGATTGTACGTTTAAATCATCAAGCAGAATGAATAGATAGAAGATACTTTGGATACAAGTAGAAGACACTTTGGCTAATATCAGCTGTTGAACATGACATCTTCTCCATTAACAAATTAATATCTGCCCCCTTCCTCAATTCAGGAGGCTCTTTGGGACCACCCCTGTTCAAGCTGCAAGGCAACCAAGGGCAGGGCTGGAAGAAGGCAGAGGTTCGCTACACAGGCAACGTACAGGATGTACAGGTGAGGCCTGAGTGTGCTTTCCTCCGAAACAAGCTCTTTTAAGTAAGAGACGTGCTTTTTCTGTCCCTCGGTACCACACAGTGCCCACAAGACAGGAACGATCCAGCTCTTGCTGAAAGGACTGACAGCAGGCTACTATCTAGTCCTAGGAGGCGCTGGTGCATGGCAAGCATGCGATACCCTAGCTGTCTCAAGCACCCCGGACACCTGGTGTATGTGGCCAAGTGTGTATCCTCCAGGGAAACAGTCGTGCACCTTAATTGTGCATTGACAGTATCATCAGTGACATAGATGTGCACATTACCCCCTAGCTATGCTTTGACAGTGTCTGCAGTGGAAGTCTATGTGCACTGTCCCTTAGCTGTGCTATGATAGTGTCTGCACTGAAAGGCTATGTGTGCTGCCCCCTAACTGTACTATGACAGTGTCTGCAGTGAAAGGCTATGTGCGCTGTCCCCTAGCTGTGCTATGACAGTGTCTGCTGTGAAAGGCTATGTGCACTGTCCCCTAGCTGTGCTTTGACAGTGTCTGCAGTGAAAGGCTATTCACACTGCTCCCTAACTGTACTATGATAGTCTCAGCCGTGACCTAGATGTGCACAGTGTCCCCTAACTATTCTGTGATGGTTTTGCCACTGGTGTCTTTCAGTTTGTGATTGAGGGGGTGTACGGAGAGACGGACAAGACTGACATTGCTGTGGACAGCGTCTGCATCACTGCTTGTCAAGGTACAGCAGCATCAGGGGTCCCAGGGCTGCCCTGAAGTAGCCAAAAGTAAACACTAGTGGGGGACAGATACCAGCATCAACATTCTGTAATCATTTCACTCACTTGTCACAAGAGCTGTTCTGATTGGGAACCTCCGTTTGAAATGACTGGGGGTTGGCACTGGTTGGAGCAATTGCATCTGTTTCTGAAAATCAAAGGTTCGCCTTTTGTGTGCTTCTGCTTTCCTTCAGGTGAGAAATGCATCAGGGAGGAAACAGCTTCTTTCTATGTTATTTTTGCAAGCGCCTCTGCGTCAACAATCTCCAAAAATGGGCCATGTACCAAACAATGGCTCCAATGAGCCAAATCTCTAGAAAAGCATCATGCACAGAGGGGTTTGCTCCTTTTTTAACACTCTGTGTCATGTCCTGTGATTGTGATACAGAAGCTTGGATTCATGGCTAGGATTCTATACGGGAGAGTCACAGGTTCAAGACCCAGGGAGGACACAGTTGTTGTGCCCTTGAACAAGGGTTTGTGACTCCAGGTTTGACTCCAGTTCTGTTTGTCTTGTTTCTGCACTGAAGTCTGAAATCGATTGAAGGTCATTAATTTTAATTTTCTGTGCTTTTAAGAACAATATAAATTCTTTTATCTCACAACTGCTTGTATTTTTTTTAACAGTTTCTCCAACTACAACAGCCAAGCCCACCACAAGCTCCACCACCTCGTCCACAACCAAGCCCACCACAAGCTCCACCACGTCCACAAACAAGCCCACCACAAGCTCCACCATATCCACAACCAAGCCCACCACAAGCTCCACCACATCCACAACCAAGCCCACCACAAGCTCCACCACCAAGCCCACCACAAGCTCCACCACATCCACAACCAAGCCCACCACAAGCTCCACCACCACATCCACAACCAAGCCCATCACAAGCTCCACCATGTCCACAACCAAGCCCACCACAAGCTCCACCACGTCCACAACCAAGCCCACCACAAGCTCCACCACCAAGCCCACCACAAGCTCCACCATATCCACAACCAAGCCCACCACAAGCTCCACCACATCCACAACCAAGCCCACCACAAGCTCCACCACCAAGCCCACCACAAGCTCCACCACATCCACAACCAAGCCCACCACAAGCTCCACCACCACATCCACAACCAAGCCCATCACAAGCTCCACCATGTCCACAACCAAGCCCACCACAAGCTCCACCACCATGTCCCCAACCAAGCCCACCACAAGCTCCACAACCACGTCCACAACCAAGCCAAACACAAGCTCCACCACCACGTCCACAACTAAGCCCATCACAAGCTCCACCACCACGTCCACAACCAAACCCACCACAAGCTCCACCACATCCACAACCAAGCCCACCACAAGCTCCACCACCACGTCCACAACTAAGCCCACCACAACTACCACCAGCAAGCCTCCAGGTAAATATTTTGTTGCATTTGGGAGCCAGGGGGTAAGCTGAGGCAGGGTGCAGAGAAGGTGAAGCGTGGAAGAAGGTTAAATGAGCCGCCTGCAGAGGAGGTGGCGTTGGGAAAGAGGTTAGATAGTTAGGAAGAGCTACTTGCAGGGGAGGCAGAGTTTCATGTTGCCCATTGAAATGAAGAGGGTGGCCTTTGCCAAGCGCTCACTGTGGTCCTCTGTGTGTTTCAGTGGAGTGCCCCCCCAACTCCCACTACGTCGTGTGTGGGCCTGCCTGCATGCCCACCTGCCAGGCCCCCTCTTACAACTGCACGGGCTCCTGTATCACCGGCTGCTTCTGCGACCCCGGCTACGTGTACCGCGGGCGCCGCTGCCTGCCCCTGCACCAGTGCGGCTGCCTGGACGAGGAAAGGAACTACTACGAGGTGAGGAAGAAGCCCATGTGCCGCCCCCCCTGGGACAGGGCATCCACTTTACCTCGCTTCTCCACTCCTTCCTCAGGCCTGATCACGGTCCTACCTTATGGAATTATACAGTGATTTACTGTAGTAAAACAAGCAGTATCGCAGCTCCCTGCAGCAGATCAGAGGAGGCCATGTGAACCATCCTCTGCATTCTGACTGTTTAGGGGCTCAAAGATCTTGTAAAGCACCAGTTTGACTCTGACCATCCTGAAGCAATCCAGTGAGTTGACTTCATCACTCCCCATATTGATTAATTTAAAATAGAGCTGCACAGCTCCAGTTTTTGCAGGTTTTCAGCTCTTAGCTACCTGCGTGATTGATACTGGACCAGTTTTATTTAACTCAGAGCACACAACTCAGACTGCAAGTGGCATTTTACATTACACATCTCACGTACAGAGTGATGTACAAATTATGGAGAGTCGCGCCTGGGCTGGCTGTTTTTGGCTGTTGTGGCGTCTCTTTCTAAACCTCCCCTTCACCTCCTTTATCTCGCGGTTTCCCTCAGCCTGGGCAGCTGGTGTTCGGAAACGGTTGCTCGAAGATGTGCCGTTGCCTTGGTAACTACACACTGGAGTGCGTCAGTAATGAGTGCCTGCCCACCGAGGAGTGCCGCGAGGTCAGTGGGGTGCCAGGCTGCTATCCCAAAGGTATGGAGTCCCCCGTCTCCTAGTCTCACTCTCTCATTGGTGCCGTGCCAAATGAGCTATAAACTCCGTCTCATCTTTATCAGGCTCAACACAGTGATAGTGTGACTGTGTTCACGCCCTGCCCTCCCTCTCTCTTTCTCAGACTCCTCCACCTGTATAGTGGCAGGCGACCCTCATTACTCCACATTCGACCGGCGGCACTACAGCTTCATGGGGAACTGCACCTACCTGCTGTCCAAGACCTGCAATTCCAGTCAGGTCCCCACCTTCGCCGTGTTCACCGACAACGAGCATCGCTTCGGCCTGCTCCACGTGACCTACATCAAGGCCGTGCACGTGCACGTGGGGGGCTTCCCCATCTCACTGATCAAGGGTGGCACAGTGATGGTGAGAGACTCTGTTTATTGGCCATCATCACTTTCACATCCAATCTGGAAATGCTAATTACTTTTCAACATGATCAAACCATTCTACAGGGAGAATGGGAACCTGTGAACAGGTTTGTTTGTTCCTCTTACAAACTCAGCCTATCCACGCTATTTATCATTTGTTTTTTACTTTTATTGTCAAAGTGACATGTCTCCCTTTAAACCATAATTGGTGTAGATGAGCAATCTATTTGTCCTAATTACATGAAAAGTTGGTAATGCTGGATGCTCTTTAGATCTTCAACCTAACAATTTGAAAAACTGCAATTCTGTGGTGCAGACAGCATACAGTAACACAGGTGCCATATGCTGGATTCACATTTGCCAGCAGATCTCTTGCACAATATGCAGAAACAATGTTCAAAGAGCAAAGTTACATCGGAGACTGGATGAGGCTGTTGGAAGATCAAACTGCGGCAGGTTTGGGGAAGAGAGGTCGGAGTCACCTCTCAGCCCTGCACCAGTACCAGATCAGTAGGAATTAGCAGACAATCCAGACACATGTTTAAGAATCCAGAATCACTGAAGTTTTGCATTTGTCATGCTGAATCAACTCCCGGTCGTTATAGTTCTGTATGATCAAAATCGAATGCTGACAGCTCCCAGTCCTAGTTGTCCAATGCGTTGTCAGCTCTGTTAGTGCAGACAGAAGGGGTGGGGCCTTTCTTAATGGCATCACTGCCAGCTTTCACACTTGGTTGTGCCTCCTCATTCTCTGCTCAGACCTGTGCAAATCCACCTATACAATGAGGAAGTCCGCAAGAATTTCATTGTTGTGTGCATCTCTCTTTTTTGTGATCTGTGTTGGGCACACCCCAGTCATACGAAAATCTCACCTCCTGTGATCCCGTTTCCACTCTTTCCCTCTTCTTCAAGGTGAATGGGTCAAAGGTGAACATCCCAATAAGCCCTGCACCTGGAGTGTCCGTGTTTAAAGTGGGGACACACATCACTGTATCAGCAGACTTTGGGGTGACAGTGCGATACGATGGCAACCACTACATGGATATCAAGGTCACCAGCGAGTGAGTGTCATGAGCATATTGAGTAAAGCCTGTTAGGGCTTATGTTTATCTGTATAGCAGAAAGCACATTTATTTGAACTCCTTAATTACACTGTACAATTATTGGCTCGCTCTGGGACAGTTGGGGGATCTAGTACATTACAGTACACATCTTGTAGTTCATCATTTCAATTGGAAAAGATCCCTTTGCCATATAAAGTAGTTCCTGTCGTGTCTGTCAGCTTTGGAGGTGTGGCGTAGGAATATTTTGGTACTTTGGTGACATCACAGGTCCAGTACTGGACTGACCAATCAGAGGTCGGCATTCTGTCTTGCAATAGTATAATCACAGCTAACTGCAGCTGTAGAGACTGCAACACAAACTGAGCACTACAGGTGGTGCTCTGTGTGTTGAATGACGTCTACCCTTTCCAACAAGTTCCTACAGTTAAGAAAAGGTGACAGCTTCAAATAAGAAATGTACATGTTGATCTTGGCTAGAGGCAACAAAGAAACAACATACAACTCTTCCCTCTGGGGACAAGGAAGGGGCTGCAGGTTTTAAATCAGGTGTAAATTCTAGCACCTCCTGTTGGCCCCTCCCTGCAGTTACCAGGGCAAGCTCTGTGGACTGTGCGGGGACTACAACGGCAACGCCATGGATGACTTCCGCACGCCAGCCGGGGAGCTGGTCAGCACGCCCAACGACTTTGGAAACAGCTGGAACACAGACGCCAAGTAAGACACCTGATGAACACACACACACAAACAGAAATATACACAAATATACACACATCTACACACCCTGTGACACTCCTAGCTGTGGGATGTCTTAAAATAGGGAAATTTAGCCGTCGGGTCAGGGCGAAACAGTAGACGTAAGGCATAAACCAGGTACCGTTTATTTACAGCAAAGGAGACTTTAAACCAAATAAAACATCATACAAAAACCTAGCTCTTCTGGGAAATCCTGGCTGACCTCTTCAGTCTCTAATTATCAAGCTGGGCAGCTTTTCCACAACAGACTCTTCAAAACACTCTTCCAAAATCTCGAAACTCCCAGATTCCTCAATTGTTGTCTTGCTCGGTCTGTGGGTGGTCAGCCGCATAGCAGAGGATCTGCCCTCTGTCCTCAGACAGGGGAAAATGACGAAAGGGGAAATGACAGGGGGGAAATTACGAAGTGCTAACTGACCAATTGTCTTGTGGCAACTGGCAGCTGCTCATTCCTCATAGCATTCTGGAGAAGGTAGTCCAGAAAAGAGACTCCATCTTGTCTGAAGTCATTGCCCCTCTCACACACCTATACACAAACATAAACGTGTGCAGTCCTGCTTTAGTGGGGACTTCTTATTGATTTACGTTCTCTTTTGTTCCACTTTTCCCTCCTACAACCAAATTAGAATCATCCATGTAGACCTGGAACAAATATTTCTGTCACTTTTAGATTGAAAAAAGCTGCCAACTAGTTTATCAAACTATCATTTCCATTGTGGGGATGTCACCACAATGTCTGTCAGGAGTTATACCTAATACCTTTATGAAGACATTTTCCTAAATTTTGTCCTCATGTTGACACTGATGATGACCTGGCCCCTCTAAATATGTTTACTTTATGGTCTATATATAACTGAAAAAATTGTAGTTTGGCTCATCCCTGTCTGAGGATTTTGCTGACATAGCTCTGCAGTAGGAATCTGTGTATTAAGATCTTTCTGAATGTTTGTGGTGTCAGTGAGCAAAAGGCCAATTTAGTTTTACAGTCAATCTCTGTGCCACTTGATTCCTCCAGATGTTACCAGACGTCCAATGAGACTATCCCACAATGCACTGATGAGGAACAGGATGTGTATGAAAGTCCTGCCTACTGTGGAATGCTGTTGAACCCCAAGGGACCCTTTGCTGTCTGTCATCCCCGAGTGAACCCCAATGTGAGTTATTACTGGTAATATTATTGTCAGATGGCTGTGTCTTGTGATACTACAAAATCGGTGTTTCTCCACACTGGAAGCTCCTTTTAATTTGTTTTACTTCCACAGGTTTGAAAAGTTTAAACAAAACCAAGGCAAACTACTAAACAGAACCTGACTCCCTTTCTGGAGTCCTGCATATATTTTAGGTTGTCTCTTCTTCTTACTATAAGTTGGGTGACACCAGAAACGATACACGGTAGTGGGTTGTTCACTTTTTCCTCAAATATCTTCTATCCTCTCATGTCTTTTCCAAATCACAGTCCTACACTGCTTTATGGGGCTTATACACACCTTAGCTAAGCCTAATTATCCCTGTTGGCACCTGCGCTCAATAATTGGGCTGTTGGCAGCCATGTTAGCTCGATAACTCCTCTTGGCCCACTTAAGAGCCAAAATGTCTGCCTCCTATGGAAGCCGCCCAGGGACATCTCAGGTGACTCTTCCATTCAGGGATGTAACCTCCCTCGCAATAATAATTATCTTCTGTGGCTGGTATAACTACTACAGCTTCCACTGATAGTCTGCCGGTGTCTGCCTGTCCTCTTAGAGTTTCTTCAGGGACTGTGTGTTCGACGTGTGTGAGCTGGACGGAGCCCAGACGTCACTCTGCGAGGCTCTGGAGTCCTATGTGAACGAATGCCAGGATCGCAACATCTCAGTGGGACCCTGGAGGAACAGCACTTTTTGTCGTGAGTATGACCACACCCAGGGACCCAGGAGACCTGTAGACGGACAGCTACACACTGACAGGCCGAGGGAATCAATAGCTGAGCACGACCAGCGTGGAACTCTCTCCCTGAGACTGCTGGAGACTTTACTGCCTTTCTGCTTCTTCATACAGAACGAGAGAATAGATGCTCAATCACATAGCTCTTTGAGTGCAGCATTAAGGCTGTGAAGAAGACTCTCTGAACCTCTTGAGGTCAAAGCTTGTTGCAGACTCTTACCCCTGTTTGTGTAAATACAATTTTGAATTGTGTTTTGTGTTTTGTTGACTGTTTACTGAAAACAGTTGACATTTTAGTGCTGTGGTGAATGCTGACATAATTCTCTCTGTCTCCTCCTCCAGCTCTCCTCTGCCCCTCCAATAGTCACTACGAGCCCTGTGTTCCCCCATGCCCGCTGTCTTGTGTCATGTCCAGTCATGGGCAGTGCCAGGGGCCTTGTGCAGAGGGCTGTGTGTGTGACTCAGGTTTTATTCAAAGTGCCGGAATCTGTGTCAGGCAAGAGAGCTGTGGTTGTCAGTATAATGGAAAATACTACCAGGTGGGGGTGCTATTTCTCCATTTTTTGTTAATGGACTGTAGTGTCCAGTCAGTGTGCCTTGTTAACCCTTCTCTTTCAGTGTAGTGTTAATGGACTGTAGTGTCCAGTCAGTGTGTCTGTATTAACCCCT